TGACTGTTAGGTGACTGGCATTTTTATTTCAATACCATGTAGGTATCTCAAACACAAAAGCTTGCTTCATGAAAGCAAAGTCTACAGCAAGATGAAATTCTCAGTCCGTAGTAACCTAGTCACAAAAAATAGCATCCTATCTCCTTACCATATCCTACACACTAGAAACAAGTTCTAGCCTCTTTTAAGCAGTGGGAATTCCCCAAGGGTGTCATTAGGCTGGATCTGTTCTGAGGGCCATCTTAGGGTCTACTTGCTACAGCTCTGCTGCACAGCCTTTAATCGTCTCCTTTGTTTTCAGGGAAACATAGCAGGTGCTTGCAGTCTGCAGAAGATCCTTAAAATGTAACCCTGAATATCTCTGTGGCATCTGGTAGCCTGGAGTGCAAAGTTGGGGGCCAAATGAAATTGTTTTGTTGATATGAAATGTTGTATTCTGTAAGCAATGCAGTGGGGACAGTGGGGAGCTGGAAGTACCTAGCTAAGGGCACCTATCACTGCCCCTCAGGGAGTAACAATGTGATGTGCCAGAGCCAGGACAACCCTGACTTCACATGGAGGTGTCAACTGTGAGCTGGGTCAAAAGACGTTTTTTGGTGTCATGCTAATGAAATTGGTATATATTTCAGCTGGCGTTGTTAATGCAGAGGAAGACAGAGAGCTGCCTGGTCTGAAGAAAGCTTATCGCCAGGCAGAAGTCTCCACCATCCAAAAAGATAGCATGCCTATTGGGAGGTTGGATGAATCCAGAAAGCTCCTTAGAAAGAGCAAGAGTGTGATTCTGACTGGTGTGGATAAGGCAGTGTGTGATGGAACTGAAATACAATCTTCCTGGCACTTCTTCTAACTTCGAGTAGATTTTCTAATTTTAAATAAGTAGTTTGGAGTCATGATGAGCTAGCAAGTGAGTCTGTCAGCCATGTGGCAACCAGTTACTAGCATGAACCCATGCAAGCTAGAATTCACTCCTGCTGAAGCTAGCACACGTCAGCTACACGATGTGCCAAGCATGACCCTATGTGGCCCAAGAGCATTCTCTCCTTGACTTCTCACAGCCGTGCTGAATTGGGGCCTGTGTCATTACCATTTCTAATGTAGCACAGCTGATATCTGAACTCAGATTCTTCCAGCCTGATCCAAAGAATAAAATAAAATAACAGCCCAGAAAGACCTCTTGTATGATTCTCCTTAATTACATACTATGCAGATGTAGCCACACAGACATGGAGAAAAAAGCTTCCCAACGCTTATAGAGAGGGTAGACAGCAGAGCTTGAAAGAGAACTAAGACAGAGAGTTTCTTTAACTATTGCCTTGTGCCATGAGCTTTGCTCCCAAAAACAAATCATAGGGTTCTCACTTTATTAGAACAGTCTAAGATGTGCATTGGATGCCCAGAACCTAGAGTGGTCAGACCATGTCAGAGAATGCATGAGATACTGATTAAAAACAGAATCCTTTGTGAAAAATCAGAAGGTTCCCCTTACACACAGACACTACTGTTTGGAAAGCAAGAAATAAAATGTAAGCTCTTGAGAGACAAGTACGGCCTACTCTCAACTCCTGGTGCATAATAAATGATCATCCAATAGTTTGTTGAGGAAAGGAGGGACATCATGATAGAGGAGATGACTGATCTGAGCTTCAATAAAGAATACTACATAGGGATGGCGACATAAATCTGGACATTTTTCACCTCTTTAGCTCAGAGTCATGGCAAGTCTTCCTTCACCTCCATGTCTGAGAAGTGGCCTGTGTCCTCCTGTGTGCTGCCTGGAGGAGGTCTGGTACTGAGTGGACCTAGACAGGACGCACTGGGCCTTATACTGATCACTGGGGCCATACAGTTTAGAATGGTTCTGTGCCTCTACCCGACTCCTCCAGCTCCACCTTGGCTGAAGGATAATAGAGGATGAGAAAAGAGTAGTGAGGGAGACACATGGACGAGACAGTGGGCATGAGCATCGCCTTGACACTGACCAGCATTGCTCTCAATCACAGCCTAGTACTGTAGACAGAAAGACCCTGGGGGACCTCCATGGGGAACTCTGTCAAAATCTCTCCTTCTGAGCCTGAAGACCAGAGGGGAGGGAGAGGATGTGATCACAGAGTGGAAGGTGGGAGGGAAGAGAGAAAGTGGCGGAAGAGACATTGGGATGAGAGGGATAGTGAGAGGGAAGGGGAGGGGCAGTCAGGGCTATGGAAAGGGAGCCCAAATTGACAAAGGGCAAAGGAGGGAAGGAGAAGAGGGCTCAGTGAGGCACCCAGAGTGCACAAGACAGAAAGGAAAGTGGAGGGCAGGACTGTTGTTGCCCAGATCCATCTGGCCTCTGTCATACAGACTGACTGCTGAAATCGAGTTCTTTTAAAGACATTTTGAAATTTTCAAGAAGATGAAAAAAAAAGTCTCCTCTCCTCAGGGTTAGAAGGGCTTCCTAGATGATTTCCATTTCATAAATTACTGGACTTTCTCCAGTTTTCGAAAGTAGACCCCAATAACATTGGTGAGGAAGGATGTGCATAAACAGTTTGTGGTGATTGGCTGCCCCCTGCTGGCAGAGACCAGGTTCTGCATGCTATGGGCTGTTAAGAACTAGATTGAGACTGAGTGGTGTGAGTTAAAGCTGGATACCCTACCTCCTCTCCCTGACTGTCCAAGATATCATACTCTCTCACAAACTCTGAACGTAGATTTTTATTGACAAAATGTGGAATTTCGCTTGGACCTCAAGTGCATCAGATCCACATGAAGCATATCTTCTCGGGCCCAAGGCCACCCCAGAGCTTTCTAACGTCGGTTTTCAGTGTTTCCCTAGCAACAAGATCATCAGTGTGGTCCTCTTACTCTTCCCCATCACCCTGCAGGAGGATTCTCTTTCAGGAGCCTCTTGTCAACTCCTCAGCCCTCTGGTATTGCCAGCCAGGACATCAACCCCTGACCACTGCCCCTGTTGAACTGACTCTGTCCACAGATGTAGAATCAGATGCCTCCACTGTCCATAGTTGGTATGCACAAGGATGCCCGGTGAATGCCCAAATGGAAGATAAAACCAAACTATTCGTACTATATTTTTCTATATATACTGCTTGCCAATGATAATGGTTCATTTACAAAGTAAGCACAGTAGAAGATTAATGGCAATAACCAACATAAAGTAGAACACTTACAGTAATAAATTGTAATGAAATAATTTAGTATCCATCCATGGCTGATTTCTGGAGTTGGCATTTAGTAATTTCAGACTAGGCTAACAATGAATGACTAAAACCACAAAAAGTAACCACAGATAAAGGGACGCTGTTATATGTAGATATCGTGTGTGTGTGTGTACACATGTGTGTATTACTAAGGATTGAAACCAGAAGTTGATATATGCTAGATGAGTATTCTACCAATCCAATAACCTGTATGTGTGTGTACATGTGTGCCTGTACCTGTGTGTGTGTGCATTTATGTGCTCATGTTTGTGTGAAAAAAGTGTGTGTCTGTGTTCTGTATCTTTGATGCCAGCAACAAGGAATTACTGAAGTCACTTTGATGCCTTCTTTAAGCGACTGTGGGTTACTTAGAGCGCTGAGCCCTGAGGCCGTCACTGGGTACAGACAGGAGCTGGTACATTCTCTGCTGCCCAGGAGTGGAGTTTGACAGTCCAAGCAACCCAGACCACATGGTCATCCAACTTTGAAAGTTAGATGCACTTGGCAGATTCCTATCCCACACTGAATTTTCTATCACTCTGTCTCACAAATTGCCGCTATCTTGGTGGATCGTAATGACACCATTTCTCTCTGTAGCTCACAGTTTCTGAGCATCAGTGGTCTAATTCGGCCCTGTGCTGAGGCTTCACAGAGCATCAGTTGGGGATTCTGGATGATTGATGACCAATTCTTGGTGCTGTAGGGCAAGTCCTACTTTCATGTTATCAGGAACTGGGAGCAGAGGTCAGATCCCATGAGCCACGGCAGCACTTTGCCACTTGTAACCCTCACAGACCCTTTACAACGCCAGCAAAGGGTGGTCTAGCTTTAGTCTGAGTAGATGGGGCCCATGCAGTGTGACACAGTCACAGGCATGACAATAACAAAGCAAGCAAAGAAGGAATGAGTCTTGGGGTCTGCTTGTGCTCAAACGAGGCAATCATTCGAGGGACGGAGTCACTGGGAATACCCACGTGTGTCTTGTGGAGTCATCCCCAGGTTTGTGTGCACACCCGATGAGAGACAGAGGAGGAAGGCTACAGCCTGAGGAAAGGCTTCTACTTCTGTCGCATGAATTCAGCTCTGGACCACCAAGTTCATCTCTGTGCACCAACCCAGCCTCAGAATACACTTCCTTGTTCAGTCCCAACTAAAGGCAAATCTCACAGAGCTGGGTTGGTGTTTTGTGCTGTAGGGCCAAGCATTTAACGTTTTACACCATGCTGGTCTTGAATATCCTGCAGAGGGAGAATGGCCATATTGGCCTTAAGCATCACTTTAAGGACGACGAACTGGCAAGAGTGTAATAGCAGGAGGCAGACGCTGACCAAATGTAGTGAGGGGTGATGGTGTTGACATCCTCAATATCACTACCACCACCACCCCCATTATCCCCTGAGAAGAGGATTTGGGGCACAAAGTGGATAGATTTTTGGAGTTGGTCGTTTCGAATAAAAGGCTTAACACACTCAAGGGGCTGGTGATTGTGGTTAAATGTCTAGGCAAGGTTGGAGATGGAGATATAGCTTGGCAGATCATCAAGTATATTGATCAGAAAGTATGTTCCAAGACACCAAAAATCAAAAGCCAAGTAGCTGATTCCCTCAAGTAGATGATTAAGTAACAATGTGCACCTTGCTTAACCTCTTTCAGCCTTATCCACCTCCAGGGGTGATTTGGGAAATAAACGCAGTAACCTGTAAAGCGTGTGGCACTGCCCCGTGTACTCGCTGGCATTTTTTGCCATGACCTGCTGGACCAGCCGGGACTAAAGCTCTTTTCTTCTTTCTTCCTTCCCTCTAGGTTCCTGATTGTCCTGGGGTGCTTGATTCTGGCCGTGCTCACCACCTTCAAGGAGTACGAGACTGTGTCTGGAGACTGGCTTTTGCTGCTGGTAAACTCTGGGCCATTGGCATTGTCCTTGGGGATGGAAGCTTAAGTCACTTTCAGCTGTAGGGAATCAGCCTCTGGAAACTAGTATCCTACTATCTCTATCCAAGTTTAGGTCCAAGAAAAAGCAATGGTTCCCTTGCCTGGCCAGGTGTAAAGTAGGCGTAGCCTTCCTCATGATGATTCGCCGTTCTTGACAGAGACAAGGGGTGGACATACAAGTCCAAGCCAAAACCATCATGTATCAAATGATAAGATATAGCTTTATGGCCCTCCAAAAGTTCACCTAAAGTCATACTCCATCCTGAACCCTGAGCCCTCTTTAATTTCTCAAAATGTAAACACTAAGGATAATACTAAGAAACTCTCGAGGTGATGACTGACCCCAAAGCTAAGGTGAGCAACATTGGCCGGCTGGTCATGCCAGTATCTGAGCATCCTGGAGGAGATTAGCAGATTGTGTTTGACCTTACCCCTTCGGGATTTTTAATAAATTCAAGAGACTTTCAAAATAATTGGTTGGGATGGAATCTTCGGAAAAGAAACAGACACGGGTTAGCTCGGCATGGATAGTAAAAAAGGCCGAGAAGAAGACTGGATGGAGGTGGCCCACCTGTCCTTCTCCCTTCTCTGGCCCCAACACATTCACCACCAGAGCAGCAGCAGCAGAAACCCAGGTCCTCTGATCCCAGAAGTCCTGACACTGGGTACTGGGTAACCCCAGTTCCTCTGATCCCAGTAGTCCTGACACTGGGTACTGGGTAACCCCACTCCATATGCTCTTTTGTGCAGGAAACATTTGCTATTTTCATCTTTGGAGCCGAGTTTGCTTTGAGGATCTGGGCCGCAGGATGTTGCTGTCGATACAAAGGCTGGCGCGGACGACTGAAGTTTGCCAGGAAGCCCCTGTGCATGTTGGGTAAGCCTTGACAATGGAGTCTGGTGGTGGCCTCAGTCCTTTCCTGCACTGTTTCTTTAAGGAAGTTGTATGAATGCAGATGGTGTTGGTACTCCATCTCCTGGGACTGTTCCTTGAGATGTGATAAGAGTAGTGAATCTCAGTGGTTGGGGACTGGGGTTACTAGCGTTTGGGTTGTAAGGAAGCCACAGAGCCCCAGGTAGTTTGTGTTCCCAGTACCTAGACTAGTAACACACTCAGTCACTTTCTATAGCTCTAATCACCAGTGTCTTCCAGGCCATCAGGGATAGGAAGTACCACAGCATTGATAATTGAGAGTGTCCTTCTCTCCAACCACATTTTACCTGTCTTATAGAGATAGACCCCAAAGTTCACAAAACTGAGTCCTTCCAGTCTCATAATTGGTGAGCCGCAGATTCCACCAGTCTTAGTGGCCATTCTATCACTGTGATGAAACACTATGACCAAGGCAACTTGCTAAAGAAAGCATTTAGCTAGGGCTGGCTTATTGTTTCCGAAGGTTGGTCCATAACCACTGTGGTCTGGAGCACTGTGTTGTGCGTGGTGCTGGAGCAGTAGCTAAGAGCTTACATCCTGATATGTAGGTAGCTGTCAGAGAGAGAGAGAGAGAGAGAGAGAGAGAGAGAGAGAGAGAGAGCGAGCGCGCAATTGGGCCTCGCTTGTGTGGGCTTTGGAAACCTCAAAGCCCCCTTCCCCCAGTAGCACACCCCCTCCAACAAGGCCACAGCTTCTCTGACCACACTTCCTAACCCTTCCCAAACAGTTCCTCTAACTGGGGCCAAGCAATCAAATATATGACCATGTGAGGGTCCATTCTCATTCAAACCACCATACCACCCCAATATAACAGTTCTGGAAGAATCCGGTTCCCCTTCACTAATCACTCAATAAATCACAGCCAAGTTCCCATCTCATGTCCTGCTTACTCAAAAAAAAAAAAAAAAAAAAAAAACCCACCTGAAATCTGGCTTTTCTTCTTTATCCCAAGCAACCCCCAATTCCCTCTCCTCCACAACTCATCTGATGTCAAGTGCCAGGTGCCACACAAGGGACTTTGAGAAACTGTACCTCTGAGTCTAGAACCAGAGCTGAAGTCTAATGGGGGTCTTTGCTTAACTCCTGGGATGTCATTTGTGCTCGGAGTTTCTGTTTCTCATCACTCACAGCAAAATCCATGACTGGTGATTGGTGTCAAATTCAACACAACCGCTTAGGTCAGTCCCTGCTTGACACGTGTTCAGCCGCCCCTCCACAGCGAGTGCGTGGGATGGTGTCTTTCCTACGCGTGGCCTCCTCCCTGTTTTCTACCACGGTCTGTCTTCTTTCCCAGACATCTTCGTGCTGATTGCCTCTGTGCCAGTGGTTGCCGTGGGAAACCAGGGCAATGTCCTGGCCACCTCCCTGCGAAGCCTGCGCTTCCTGCAGATCCTGCGCATGCTGCGGATGGACAGGAGGGGCGGCACCTGGAAGCTCCTAGGCTCAGCTATCTGCGCCCACAGCAAAGTAAGTGTGCCGGAGAAGCTACGATATGACGCAGGCTTCTCTCCTACCTGTACTTTTCTATGTCACCTCTTCCTATAGTGTCCCTGAGGGTAGTCATGCACCCAACACTGACCATAGTAATGATAACAACAAGGAGAAAAAGGAGGAAGTGGGAGGAGAAGTTTATGTGGGTGTGGTCCAGAGAAGATGTAAACCACAGGCAGACCTGGGCTTCGGTCTCAACTCCACGATATGCAAATAACTGGCGAAATCAATCACCCCTCGCTGGCCTTCCGTTTCCTAGTTTCTGAAGTGGGGATGACCACCAAGGATTCAACAGCTCAGAGGTAATGCCTGTACCTCCCTGTGGTTTAAAGGGTAGAGAGAGCTCACACAAGGTAACATGGACAGCAGGGGAAGGTTTGGGAGTTGCACAGACTAATTTTGATCTGAATGCCATGTCACTTTGGGGTCTTTTAAAATTCGTTCTTTGCACTCTGGGCCAAGTTCTGTGCTTGACTCCTCTGACACTCAGAAATACAGAGATGGAAGCCCGTGTGGCTAGGGTTAGACTTTTCAAGTTGATCCTATAGTTAGGACAGGCCAAACGATACTTCCAGGACACATATGCCGCAGGGTCTCTACCAACCCTAATGGATAATGCTGGTTCCTGCTTCTAGCATCAGATATGCTAACTAGGTCTCGTGTGTCAGGAAACTGAGCCCTGAGTCACCAAGCCAGGAAAGGAAGGCCTCACAGATCCTACAGAGAGCATTTTTAAAAAGCGGGAAAGGATTTGCTCCCTTGCTTCCCAACACTGACTGGACACGGGTCTCTTGATCCCAAGACTAAGTGCTAAAATCCTTGGCATGTGGGGGAACAGGCTCCGCCACAGAGCTGTAGGCAAAAATTAGATAAAGTCAGGGTTCCCTTGAAGAGCCCACGTTAACTGCCAATGTCAACCAGTAGACCACGTCTTAACCCAGCACAGCTGGTGGATCTGCGTGCTGCACGTGATCAAGCAGCTGTTTCTAAAGAATCCACCAATGAGTCTTCCAGCTTGCAGGAGGGCAAAGGTTCCTTGCTGTAGCCTGCAAAGCAAGAGGCAGGTGTTTAGCCAGCCCCTGGGGAAGGAACACGCAACTCTCTTTCCGCTCTCCTATCTGCTTCAGGGCAGACATTCAGAGGAGAACCTCCTGCGTTGCGTGTGTGAACTTACACGAGTTCAGTGTGCATAGGATGCCGTGGGAAAGCCAAGGCTGTGAGCCGAGAAACCTAACAGCGTTAGCAAAGCAGACGGATTGAAAACCACTGAAGCTGTGAGGGGCACCACTGAACTCTCCCTGTTACCCTGACACCGATCTTACACAACACCTGAGAGAAACAGAGAGGGAGGAAAGATGCGTTTTGACACCATTGTGGGAAAGGTCTGGCAGAGCCCCTGAGGCTGTGGCAGCGGGGCTGTGTGATGAAGGCTGCTCACATCACAGCAGGAAGTAGAGGTTAAGACCCCGGCATCTGGAACCAAGGAAGACTTTCAAAGCCCCAACCTAAGTGACCTATTTCTACCAGCTAAGTCCCGCCTCCTAAAGTTTCCATAGCTTCCCAAATTAGCACAACCAGCCAGGAGGGAGGTGTCCCATGGAGGGTAGTTCCCATTCAGATCATAGCACTCTCTCTGATGCAGTAAAACTGTCCTGGAAAATACTGTAATGTAGGTTACAGGTAAGTGTAGCTGAGTAGGAGCTCTTCATTGGGCCTTTGGGACAAGGGTAGTGTGGTCACCAGGGACTATATGAGCCAAGGTGATAAGAGAGGCAACCCTGTCAGTGAGACTCTATGACCTAGGCAGCAGGCTGGCCGTGGACCGCCATGGGAAGGACAGCTCTGCCAACAACAGCTCTCTGAGATGCTTCAGGAGGAACACAAACTGCTTACCCACAGATGTTACTTCTCCTCACCCACTCTACCATGCTAGCCTTGATGGGAGAGCATCGAGGCACTTAAAGCATCAAAGACCCCTAGGAATCATTTCCATCCATCCAGGGCTTTTGAAACTCCAGTGGTTGGCTTGTCTTTGTCCTCTCTATTCTCCTTGCATTAGTGTTTCCTATTAATCACTTGTCTTGTTTACAGCTTACTGTGTAACAGCACCCATGAAATCACAGATCTCATATGTCTCTTATGTGTTACTTTTCATATATTCTAATACATAAGATCACTCAATATATTAAGTGTTTTTTTTTTTTTCTGAATTCCACCATTGGTATCCAGGATAACTCCAGGCCCCTTTGGTCTAGTTTTTTTTTTTTTTTTAATTTTGAAAATTAGGATATTATCCATAGATAATAGAGTATAGTTCTCCCTTGGATCATACAGTGGCATCATACTTGGCAGGAGTATGTCCCTGTCTGTGGCTTTGTCTTCTGGACCACATTAGCTGCCCTTGGCCACTAATCTATACATGGAGGTAAGCTTTTGCCCTGCGCATTGCAATACATAAAGACAGCCGACCAACTCTGAGCTTGTCTGTGGAAATAACCAGTTTCTTCTGGTTACTTACCTTCCCATAAAGCCTTCTGAGTTGTGACATCAGGTCACCTACCACAGAATCTTCCTCTTCTCCCAGGGCCTGCAGCAGTCTAGTCGCTGATGGAAATGTTTGTAATCTTGGTCCTGTTTTCCACTGCTGAGAGATGAGGCTCAGAAAAGAAAGCTGGTACACACGCAGTCCAGTTCCAGACTGCCTAGCTCAGGCTACCCCCTGAGGGCTTCCTACTGATTCCCTCTGTTGCTCACTGTTCCAGGAACTCATCACTGCCTGGTACATCGGCTTCCTGACACTCATCCTGTCTTCGTTTCTTGTCTACCTGGTGGAGAAGGATGTGCCAGAGGTGGACGCACAAGGAGAGGAAATGAAAGAGGAGTTTGAGACCTATGCAGATGCCCTGTGGTGGGGCCTGGTGAGTCACTTTCATTGAAAGGCAGCCCCGGGGAGGTTACCTGGAAACTTGACTGCTAGATGCATGGCGAGGTGAAAGGCGGAGTAGGGGCAAACTCAGTCAGCTTCCTTTGGCATCCGAAGGTGGACCGCTTTCACTTCCAAATCTACAGAGAGGAGGCAGGAAACTTCTACTGATGATGAAGGTACCTAGAGCAGTTTTCTGTAGAGCTTGAAGAAACTAGAGCTCAGAAGAGTTTATTTGCATGATTTCCTGGGACCTGGCCTCGTTAGTCATGGGCAGTCATCAGCCAAGCCGTGGGACACAAATGACTACAGTATTATGTACATGCATTACACACAGACCTGAAGACACATATAGAAGTGAACTGTGTCTTGATTCATACATAATCACACACTGAAATCTACTACTCATAATCACACACTGAAATGGACAGAGAGCCATGTACACATGATGACATACACAAATACACTCACAAACACAACTCATAACATGGCCGTGATTAAACCCATACATTCACAAATACGGTCATTCCTCGGTGTAACAGGAAATTGATTTCAATTTCTTCCACTTCTCTGAAAATGTCAAAATATATAGATGCTCGTCCCTCCCAGAAAACATTGTTAACATTTCCATACCAGCCACACACATCTTCCTATGTGTTTGAATCGTCTGTAAATTACTTTTCGTGCCTAACGCCATGTAAATACTGTGTAAATGGTTGATGGGCTGTAGTTCTTATTTGCGTTATTTTTATTATGCTATCATTTGTTTTTTATGCAGATATTTTGAAGCATAGTTGGTTAAATCGAAAGATGTAGAACCCAAGGTGATAGAGAAGCAACTGTATACACACAGACACACACACACACACACACACATACACACACACACGAGATAGAGACAGGGAGAAGAGATAGAGCACAGAGGCTGATGCAGAGCTCTATGCACTGTCACTGATGTCCCCAACCTGGGACCTCCCAGTTTGAACCTCTTCTCCTTTTCAGATCACACTGGCCACCATCGGCTACGGAGACAAGACGCCTAAAACCTGGGAAGGACGCCTGATTGCCGCCACCTTTTCCTTAATCGGCGTCTCCTTTTTTGCCCTTCCAGCAGTAAGTTCCCTTAGTGTGCGACAGGAAGTTCCCCTTACTGCCTCGACCCAGCTCAAATCCCCGGCCTCAGATTTCGCCCTTTTGTATCCTTGGCTCCACATCCTATCATTTCATCAGCTGTTACCTCAGGCATGGCATGTCTCACCCCTCCCCCATGGTGGCTTGTGTTGCTGCCTTGCTCTTGGAGTGGTGCCTTCAAATGCCCCCTTGTTTTCTAAGGTCAGGAACCAGTAGTGCTATCTCCAGTCTGAGTCAGTATCCCTGCTAGTCTGACTCCATGTGTGTTTGCAGATTTCCATCTCTGTCTGTTCTCGAAGACTGATATCTTTGGGACCAAGGTCTTCTGTCTTCATCTGTTGATAGCCGAAACCTTACACAAAGCACATCTGAATATACTTACTTTGGCCTGACACTTGCTGCCTTAAATTTTTGAATATTTTCATTTCTCTCAAGAGAGATCCCCCTGAAATGGTGTAATGAGGGTGAAAATAGAAGGCTCTCGTTGGAATCAGCGTGTGCCCAAATCATGCCAAATGTTTCCTGGGCATCATCTCATTTAGTCTTCATTCCAATAGTATGAGTTAAAAACTGAGGCTCAATGAAAGGTTAATAGACATTCCTGGGGAGCTGGAGAGATGGCTCAGTGGCTAAGAGCACTGCCTGCTCTTCCAGAGATCCTGAGTTCAATTCCCAGCAACCATATGGTGGCTCCCAACCATCCGTAATAAGATCTGGTGCCCTCTTGAGAAAGAGACCTGCTCTTTATCAACTTAGACCATGAAATCCAATATGGACAAATTCAACAGAACCGCCATATACGGGCTGCCCATGCATGCTTCAGCATTGCCAGGGCATAAATTTCCTTTCAAACTTCAAACGTTCCTGGGATGGGGAGTCAGAAACCCCAGTCCAGGCCAGTTCTAAAGCCTGCCTAGTTGTTATGCAGCTTGAAGACAGCATTCTCAAACCACAACCCCTCTGCTGCTCCTCCACCCCCACTCCTTTCCTGGAGAATTTCTTTCTCCTATATTAGCCAACTTACACGTGTTTTCCTCTGCTAGTCATCTTTTTCTATGATCTTCTTGAGCTTGTTTTCTCATCTCTGAAACTGTCCCAGGATGGGCTGGGTACTGTGTCATCTCTATTTCTCTTTCATATTAAATGCATGTGTCTATCTACTTAGTCCACATGGGTATCTGACCTAGAAATCAAAGCAGATTCAATTCTTGGAAACTCTGCCTATAGTACATGCCCCCCAGGGACAATTCAAACAGCTAAAATATTTTAAAATTCAATTATCATATCATATTCTGTGTCGCATCCCTTCCGGAGCAATTCCTATTTATCATCTAGGTTTTTCCTGAGATCATTGTGAAGTATGTATTCTTAACCAACGGGCCTATGAAAGACAGAGAACAGCTGGACTCTGTCTATCAGATTGAAAGCCAGACATTTTTGGCTTTAGGCTGGTTTCACTTAACCAGACTCTCTACTCCAGGAAATGAAAAGAGGCTTTCTCCCTTTACTCCTCCATCTAGTATTGCACTAAATGGAGGTGCAAAACCCCTTGTGTTGTTACGAAATCCCTGGTGAAAAGCAATGTAAGGGAAGTTGTTTTGGGTTTTTTGTTTGTTTGTTTGTTTGTTTGTTTGTTTTGCTTACAGTTTCAGGGGATACTTTGAAACTTTACTGTGGCAAGGAAGATGTGGTGGCAGAAAAGGGAAGGAACTGGTCACATCACATGAGCAGTTAGAAAGCAGACTGAACAAGCCATGTGGCCAGGCTACAAAACATCTGGACCTCACCTCTATTGACTTAATTCCTCCAGTAAGGCTCTTCTAGGTTCCACAACCTTCCTAAAGGGCCACCAGCTAAGGACCAAGTTTTCAAATACATGAGTTTGTGGGTGAACATTTTAGTTCAAATGACAGCACAGAGTGTCATTGAACCCTACATTCTCTGCTCCCCCAGAAATGAGACTGGGATACTGAGAGAACCTGGTGCAGCTGACACTGGTTTGATGTCTCCTTGCAGGGCATCCTTGGCTCAGGACTGGCGCTCAAGGTACAGGAACAGCACCGTCAGAAGCACTTTGAGAAGAGAAGGAAGCCAGCTGCCGAACTCATCCAGGTCTGTGTGCCTGGTAGTGAACTAGGATGGTTCCAGGGATGTGTGTGTGTGAGAGAGGGGGGGGGAGAGACAGAGACAGAGAGACAGAGAGCAAGACAGAGACAGAGAAAGAAAAAGAAAGTCCAAAACCATATAACTGGAAAGAACCAGTTTGTATTTACTCCTTTGTGATTGGCTACAGTCATCATCACTACACAGTCTATGCGTGTTGGCAGTGAAAGCCTTACCATTTCCACCCAAATTCTAAGACACTCAAGTACTCTAAGCACTCAAGGGTGAAACCACTTGTTCACACCCCCACCCCCCGATAATCTTGGAGTGAAGAATTTGGCTTAGACCTGTGACTTTCCTTAGCCTTCTTCTTCCCATCCTAGAATTGATCCAGTGACCCACAGAAAATAGTTAGCTAACAATCCAGTACTCCGTGAGCTACAAGGAGTACTGTGATCCACTTCTGTCTGTCAGAGCCAATGAGGTCATGGAAGGACGGGGAGGGGGGGTGGACCAAAAGCATATAGGCTATTGAGTATGTCACAGGTTGTCCCAACTCCTCAACAATCATTGCACAGGAGATGTTGGATACTTGGTTCCATCCACCACCATTACTCCTCCAACCATAGATTGGAGGAAGAATAATAGAGGAATAAAACAGGAATAATTACTCCCTATTAGACATCAAGGGAAGTCTGCATCTTGATTGCATGGGCTGTTGGGAGTAGGGGGCCTAATAAATAGGAAATTAGTGTATCCCCCATGTCTTCCTGAGTGCTGAGAGCATTGCCACTCACCCAGAGCTTGTATCCATTGCATTAGGTACTTCTGTGGGTCTATGGAACTGACGCAGCAGGTAGCATTCAACATGGTCTGCTCTCTAAGCCAATCTCAGGATTCAAAGTCTGCTTATTCCTTTATGCCCTTAAACCCCAGGCTATCAGGGCATCCAGGAGGTTAGTCTATGAGAGCCACCTCCCAAGCTCTCTGAAACTCAGAAATAGTACAAAGACTTTATTTTCTTATATATTTGACTGATCATTCTCAAGGAGCTCTCTGGGAAGAATAGTCAGCATTCCTTTCAGGGATTTTTCTACCCTCTTCTCTCTATTCCAATTCGTCTCTCCGTGTCCCAGCTCACCACAGCACCAACTGTAGTTCTAAGATGGTCAAGTTTTTGTTTTTACAAAGAAACCCTCAGAGCCTCTGCTTCTCTGAATCCTTACTAGATGGACATTCAAACTCTTAGGAGTCAAGAGCTTAAAAGTTGTTTAGATGGCATAGGTTGCTGTGTGAATGTTTCGTGTGGTACCCACATCATTCTGTTTCCTTTTCTCTCCTCCTCAGGCTGCCTGGAGATATTATGCTACCAACCCCAATAGGATTGATCTAGTGGCAACCTGGAGATTTTATGAATCAGTTGTCTCTTTCCCATTTTTCAGGCAAGTAGTCATTTGTCTGAGTACTCAGAGTATGTCTGACCTCCTCTACCACAGTCTGTTCTTGGTATCATGGTCTCATGGTTTGCTAGAGAGTATCTTCCAAGGCAATGCAGAATGGTCCCTAATATGAACCACATATTAATATCATTGGAAATCTCGAAACAAACAAACAAAACAACAAAACCTTGACATCCAGACATACTTGACCTAATTAAGTCTGAATCCTCAGAAGTAAAACCAGACATCTCTAGTTTTCAAAACCTTCTAGATGCCCCAGTGAACAGCTGGAGGTAAACAGCATGGCACTAGGAAATAGCTGTATGAACAGAGTCAGGGGACAGAGGAAATTGAAGCCAGCACAATCAGCTATCCAACAGTGTGATGATCCCTTCACTGGCCATAGCATACACTCACAGACCACTGCAACAGAGGGAATAAGGGCAAAGGTGACCTAAGATCCTTTGGAAACCTATTAATGGTATTTCATGGTCTCACAGTTGGAAAATTGAACTAAAGGCCCATGGAGGTGAATAGCCTCTTCCCACAGCTAGCGTAAGGAGAAGAGGAAGGAGCTTAACATGCAGTGACATCCACTGCATTCCAAATATCCAAGTCTGTGTTTCATTTCATCCTAACAGGTCCTCTGAGATGAGTCAGTGTTCACAAATGTAGGGAATGCATTAGAGTTGGAGGCATTGTTTTGAACACAGAGAGCCAACATACACCTTCAGCAATGATAAAAAAAAAAATGTGGCAAACCCATCTTGACCAGGAACCATGGTTTGATTCTATCATAAGGGTTCATTGTGAACAGAGTTGCAGGATGAATGGTTGATGATATCAGGTTCTACTTACCAGTCAACGACCTAGGACTCGGAGTTATTGGACATTTTGGTAGCCTTTCCTTGCTGCCTGGATTCTAAAGCAGGCTCTTCCTTTTCAGTGTTTTGATGCCATGGTCTGAGTCTAGAGTTCTGGATATAGACAGATGCTAGACTTTTAGAATCCCTGACTTAGGAGAGAAGGTAGAGGCACAGTTAGCTTATCCATGGATAGGGTCCGCTCTGAGATATGTTTACTGAAGGATGCTCCATAAACAAGTACCTGCCATTTCAGTGAACAACCCAACAGTAGGTAAGTGCCTCTCCCAACACCTATGTAACTCTCTCATACACTCTCACATGCTCAGTATAAGATCTATGACTGGTTTATGAATACGGCCTCTATTGATCCATCCACTCTCACCACCATATTGTACTAAGGATTTAAGGAAGTTTAGCCAACAAGATGGCTCAGTGACTAAAGGCATTTATTACTAAGCCTGATGACCTGAGTGTAATACCCAGGTAGAAGGAAAGAACTGACTTCCACATACATGTGCATGTGTACACACACACACACACACACACACACACACACACACACACTAATTTGTCAATCTATCTATTTTAAAAGATTTAAGGGAATAGAAGGGATCTGGGTTTATGTGCTCCATTACTTTATTTAAAACCTTTATAATCAGTAAATATTAATAGCATAAAAATGTGAAACCTGACCATGACCTTCGAGAACTCCAAGTCCAGCCCTACAAAACCTTTCCTGCCTCACATTCTTTGGGCGTTCACTTCTCAGGAAGGTCTGATAGCATGAGCCAAGGCAAAAAGCGCTGAGAAGGGAGGAGAAAGAGAGGGTATAAGAAAGATAAAGGGGACCGATGACTTGTGGGAGAGGTAAGAAGCAATAGATGAATAATTAAAGGAGTAAGGCTGAGTTACTCACTGTATCTTCTGACTTAATTAAACTTACTTACTCGGATGTTGCTAATTGTGTTTCTAAAACTCTACTGCTGCTATTATTGATTAGGAGCAGGGACATCATAAATCAGAGCCTTCCTAAAGTGGGCCAGGATCCCCCTTTAAAATAACAGAATGACCTTGGACTCAAATCCAAGAACATGTGTACCCAGACCAAATGTAGAGCCACGATGAATTTCATTAGCTGTGCATCCCAAGGCCTTGGCAATGGGCCTATTCTTTTTGGTTGATTTATTATAAATACAACATTGTCCTGGCTGTCAGACACTTGAAGGCTACATTGTGCTGCAGACAGCTGCTGCGATATGGGAATGGCTTTTAAACTAAGAGGGAACATTTCTTTCTCGCTTTGTTTTTCAAGGACAAAGTACAAAGTCACTAGAGAAACTCACTTAGCAACCACTCTGAAATGAGGCAGTCCTTTGGGAAAAGGATGTCCCTGAAAGCCAACCCACATCATATGCTAATGACAGAGAAAAAAGCAGGTACACTAATGTGTCCTCACCTACCTCCCAAAAGATTTTTCCCTTTTATTTACTCCTTCTTTAATAATAATTTTATTGAGATATATTTCACTACCTAAAAGAGGACAAGACAGTATAGTGATTCCGATTATAGTCTCAAAGTTGGGCATCATTAAACACACTAACTCCGGAGCAATTTTGTCATGTCAGAAAGAAATCATGTCTTTGTGGTTTCTCATGGGCCTCTCTTTCTCCATCCCTGTGGCCATTTTTGTAAGTGAAGAGACAAAACACCCTGCTAATTCTTAATATGATTCAGCAAGTACATGCTGGAAGAAAGATTGGAGCCAAGTTCTTCTGCCCAAAGTTCTTGTTCTTCCATTGTGTGTCTGGGAAGAAATGGCTATTTTAGAGAAAAGTATGTGATGCTCTGACACATCCTCACCTGCATCCCACAGGTTGGGTCAAGGCTTATTTGTCTAAACAATGCCTGTTTCTGAAGGGGTTGGTGTTGTAACAGTGAAACTAAGTAAGGTGCATGACAGCATCTGTCTTGATACCTGATTTATGGCAGGTTATGATTCAATCAATGATGATTAAGTCTGCCCTGGTGATGTCTATGAATCCAAGTCGAGCAAAAGGGAAAGAAAGACACTGATCTCTGAAATTATAGTCTTAGGAAACCACTGTGAGTAATACCATAGCGAGAACACCCTGTCTGAATTGAGGCCCAACCCAGTGAATTTGTTGGATGAGCAAGACTGCTCCAAGTAGAAAAAATGGGTAGGGGATTTTAGGCAAAACTGAGCAAAGACTCAGAGTGGGGAATATGTCGCCAGCATGTTCAGCTGGCCCTGTCACTATAGGGCTTTCTCTAGAGATGCTCTGCCTGGGTTGGGATCTGAACTCTACTACTTCATGTCTGAGAACACAGGCAATTTATTAAACTTCTTTGTCCCTCAACCTTCTCAACAGAAAAATAATATAATGGTATTTACCTCTTAGAGTTATTATAAGGATTAATTGACAAATCTATAAATAACACTTAAAATAGTATCTGGTAAGAGAAGAGTCATGAAACCATTTTCTGTCCAGTCACCATGCACAGTGGTAATGCTATTGACCACGAATGGCAGGGAGGGGTGGGAGAGCAGCAACTACTTTTGACAGTCTTGATTTCCTGATCCATCTCTACCACAAATGAAGTCTTATGAGCCAAGCAGTGAATCCTGGGGTTGAGTAGGCACTCACCCGTTTTCTCAATGAATGAGCAACTAAGACAAACTGAGGAGCACAGGACCAAAGGGTGGTGGCAGGAGCATGGGGCACATGGCAAAACTCGCCTCATACTTTGGTTCCCTTCCACACCCACCATCTTGTTCCAGAATATTTCTTGATTCCATTGGTCCTGTTCTACCTTCTGAGTGATGCTGAGGCAGACTGTGGGGGCAAGAGGCAACCATTTCATGTCATTTACATTTTTTTCTTTTTCTCCCCTTCTATAGGAAAGAACAGCTGGAAGCAGCAGCCAGGTACATTTCTGATTATGAAGCCCTTCCTTTCACCATTGTTTGGGGGAAAGGGTTCTGTTCCGCATGGGGGAAAACTGCTAGATAACAATGTTGGTCATAGCTAGTCTTTGATGCTCACTCTGTTGCTGAACACAGATTCCTCTGCCATTTTCATGCCGTATTTAGTTAAGAACAACTTAATATAAGTAATAGCAACAGCTGCATAGTGAATGTCTGTCTCCTCGAGCTAGGCTCTGAGCAGGTTATCACACTTGATCCTTATAATTATCACGTGAGATAAGCCCTATTATTCTCCTTTGGAGATAAGTAGACAGGGACTCAGAAAGGTTCAACTATCCCTTGTATGAATCTATCATACAATTTGGCAGGAAAATCAAATTAAGTCAGATCTAAATCTGAAAATCTTTGCCACTGGTGCTGGAGAGATGACTCAGTGGTCAAGGGTACTGATTACTCTTTCAAAGACCCGGATTCAGTTCCCAACACCCAAATGTCAGCTAGCAACTCTCTGTGACTCCAACATCTGACACCCTCCCATAGACATACATGAAGGCAAAACTTTCATGCACATATTTTAAAAAGTTTGCCATTGTACTTTTCTCCATTTGCTTCTTGGGCTCACATCACAGATGACACTTCAAAAAACAAACACAGACTGGAATTCATGATCCCCATAACCATGAGGGCTTCTAGTAAGTCATGTGTACTACAGTGGCCACAGAGGTAAGAAGAGGTTCAGGGTTATGTAGGACTACTTTCATCAACTTCTTACCCCTCTGTAGAAAATGCCCAACATCTGGACCCTGTTCTAGGTTATAAAGCAAGGTGATTTACTTTGACAAAATAGTGTGAAATGTTAAGAGATGCCAACACACTACTCAGAGCAGTACTTGGTTTAAGCATATGGGGTGTTTTCTGTAGCTTTCCATGTAGCATTTTTGAACTGCAGTTAACTGTAGGTGACTGGTTAGAAGTACTATACATTATTCCAAATATGGATTGGATTTTCTGGTTCTGATTAAATTGGGGACCAAATAGGTGCATGTGAGTCTTTTCTAAGGGTGTTTCTCTGGGTATAGAGAAGAGGTTCTTTGAAAGACAGCTACCAACATGTTTGTGCCTTTGCAAGAACTCTCCTCTCTGTCAAAGGGTGCAAAGGAAAATCTATCCCTAAGTTTTTTTAGGTTTGGACTTAGGTGTATGATGGCTCTCCCTCCTCAGAGAAGATTATAGTTGGTGATTAAAGCCTTTCAATCCTCTTTATCCACTATTTGAACAGTCATCAGGTAGGGCTGGTAGACTGGTGAGGGAGATATTGGGAATAAGTATAAAAACACAGCCTGGAATAGGAGACAAGGATCTTGAGGAAGCGTGACTTCAGTTCCTTCATCCAAGAAGGAAGGATACAAGGTGACAATGAAATGCTCAAACATAAGAAACATAAGCCAATGCTTTAAATGAAAGTTTACTCCTGTTTACTGATCAGCTTGTCTACTGGTTTTCCACTCTTACTTTATGGTTACCTCCATATAGTCAGAGTGATGTCTGAAGTTCATTCTATTGCCTCCTCCTCAAACCAACAGCCCACAGGTTGGTTTGACAACTTGAGGAAAGAGCTATGTTTCCTGTTTCTTTCCAGGTCCAGATATAGTCTTGAGGATAAGAAAGGGAAACATTTAGTCAGCTTATTGGTGGAGACTCACATTCTTGCCTGCTTACAAAGTGATTGTTTATTTAGGGCTTTCCTGATTGTTTTGACTCAGGTGGACTTGCTTGTAGAACATAAGCCCAGCTGAGTTCATATAGTTGACTGAATGGTTGCCTCTGATAATATTATGCTTCTTTCTTGGTGTGTACAATTCTGTGATTAACCCAAATGTAAAGAGACAACTCACGTGATAGGCTCACAGATAGCTGAACTCTTGGTATGCCATGCTGCACAACTCTTAAAAAATTGGAAGCAGGTGGTTCCTCCCATCTCTTCCCATCTGGTTTGAATACATCCATTGTGATGCCCTTGGGTGGGATTCAGAACTTTCATAATAAAGCATATAAGTATGCATATATAGATTATACTATGCACACGCACATCAGTATTGAAGCTAAATCTATGCCTGAAATATAAACGTACCCCATAAATATTTGATGAGTGGATAAATAGTAATCTATTTTATCTCCATGTCACTTTCAAGGAGTTGATATGAAGAGCTCACATATCTAGCAATGTCATCAACACAGAAATAGCCAGAGTAGGGCTTTCATCCTCCTTCCACCCAGTTAGGAAGGAGTCTCCCTAAAGCATAGGTCGTTAATGCCCTCCCTCGGTGTTCATGGATACGAAGTGAGCTCAGTTAACCCAGCAGACACATGATCTGGTATCAGCGCAGTCTCCATGGTCCAAGAACTCCTCTCGTATGACTTCATGCGACTCTCTTGTCAGTTTCTCTTGGGATTCTGCCTTAGATCCCTTGCCAAAAGTGACCTTCTTTGACTCTTGACTCTCACTCTGTCAGTATCTTTTCCTTTGATTCTGTTTCAGTGTCCTTCACAGTACAGGATTACCAAATATGCTTGTTTCTTAACTACTTTTTCTCACAGACTGGATACTTCTGAGTCACCTAAACATAACCTGAAAATCTGGTCAACTTTATGTACACACACAGTGAAAGATAGAGTATTTCCCCCTCCCATTAATGGTAAATGCATAGCAAGTAGAAAAAAACAGTCATTCTCTATGATAGTCATAAAGTACATCCATTAATTTCAAAGTCTGAGTATTAATATTGCACAAGGAACATCAATATTAAGCCTTACTAAATGTAGATGAATAAGAGGGTAGATATAAGACGGATGAACTAATGAACCAATAGGTAAATCGAAGGATAGAGGTCAGTGAATGAAAGCATGGATAGTGGGTGAATGAATGAATGGACAAAGTCTATATTCTGCAAGTATCATAAAGTCAATTTACACTACTTTAACCTAGAAAAGAAATGTAGTAGCTGACATATCCATTGAGGGAGGGTCAGAGGCCTCTGGGAACTAGGATCAGAACTGTCTGTATTTCTCTTTCATCTTTTATCTCTGATCATTCCAGGATGAGTTCACTCTCGTAGCTGACTTTCCATGTATTGATTAATCTGTATATGCTAGTAAACCCAAAATAAGATATGTTTTTGTTTTTCCTTTTTAGACTTAATACTCATGAGCCAGAAAAACTCAGGGAACCCTACATATTGACCCAATTTGTCATATATTCATGCCTTGAACATTTTTTTCCCATAGAGAATAGAGAGGACTGCTGGCCAATCCCTGTTGTATGTTTTTACACGTTAGAGTGAAATAAACGACTACGGATCACAAACTCCATTACATCCACTTGGGTGAAGTGAGAGAAGAGAGAAAATAAATTCTTGGATGTAATAAGATGTTTCCCCTCCCATTAATGGTAGTCATAAAGTCCATCCATTAATTTCAAAGTCTTAGTAATAAAATTGCACCAAGGAACATCAATATTAAGCCTTACTAAAATTCATTTATTCTACAGTGTGTTGGGAGAGACTAGTATTTTATGTTCTGGCCACCACTTTAACCATCGTTTGTAAAGTCTTCAGCATATAGGCATCAAGCATCCTGCTGGTAATTAGGGTATCTTTGTGATAGAAACTAGGAGTTCTAAACGCTCAGAAAAGATAACTATGTTGATAACTGCTTGCTTGAACCCCATTGTTCAATTTGTATTTTCAAACAATTTATTCTGAATAACATCCTTCAGAACGTGTATTTGTCTTTGAAGAACAAAAACATCATCCAAGACACCTTTCTTTTCTCTTGCCTGGTGATTATGTCTTTCTCATTTAGCAGAAGATTATTCTTTGTATCAAGGATTTAAAGTAATGGCTGTAACTTTGAAAGAATGAGTATTGTCTGCCAGGTAGGGTTCTGTGTACATCAAACCTCACAGCCACCCTATGATCTAAATAAAATACTGTTTTTAATCCTTATTTTATACATAATAACTGAGATTCAAAGAGATAAGAACTTTGTATGGTGTCTGTAAATAGAAAGACACAAGAAGGGCTTGGACCCAGCTGGTTTACGTCCACAGGTCCTGGTCTCAAGCACAGTGCTAACTAATCCTTGCAGTTGCTTTCTTGGTCACTGCAGGTGTCCCTTCGCTTGTTGTTTTCCTTTACCCTGTCTTGCTAGGCTCACAGAGCTGAAGCCCTTGCCAGAAGAGGAGGCTATAGAGGCCCGAAAAGGCACAGAGCCAGAACCCGCTGTGCAAAAGAAGAGCATGCAGCCCGGTGCTGTCATTCATTCTTTATGTCTCCCCCTGACATCACCACATGAAATTCAACTCACAGTTATGCGTGCTGTTGGCAAGAAAGTCCGTCCAGACCTTAGAATCAGTGATTGGGAAAGGGGAGAAGAATTTTGATAGCAGTTAACCAATCCCCTAATTTCGCTGATGAGAAAATTGCTACCCAGTGCAAAACAAAGGGTTTGAGTATGACCCCATACAATTAGTATTTTGTCCTGCTGTCCAATATCAGAGGTGCTGAAGTGAGATTTGGGCCAAAGTGGTGTATCCTGAGTGATCCCTGGCATGTTGTAAAGGCTTTGCCTCCATTTTCCCTGAGAAACAATTGGGGCACCATGGCTATTTATAACACACCTTTTACACAGGATAATGATTAGATTGGGACATAGATGTTGGAGAGGGATCAATAAATCGGTTTTATTGAAGTGCTGATTCTGGGCCTGACATTTCATAGTACTCCCTACCGAGTCTGGCTTTGAGAGCAGCATTGGGACAAAGTAGACACTGTCCCAGCCATCACAGTAGGGATGTGGGTATCATGGCCTTGCTGACATCATGATTCAAGGAAAGCTGGAGGAAGATCACATAAGGACAGTGATCATTAAAATGTAAGCTACTCCATCAAACAATGCTGAACAGTATCCATTCACACTTATGATCCTTCTCCAATGGGAGGAAACTAATTGAATTCTTCTGGGTTCTTCAAAGAGCATTGAAACCCCATTTTTATGTCTGTGAAAATGTGAAAAAGGAAGTTCCTCTCTATACATGCCTCTTGTATTGTCTCTCCCCATGATCTCGTCATTCCTTAAGACAGAAGAACTTGGCACAACTCTTCTGGTTCCACAAGTCTGAAGGCTATACTTATTCAGCCATCCAGCTGTCACTGATAGATATATTAGTGTCGTCAGCAAGCCATGACAAATTACCACGAACTGGATGAGTGGATGATTTAAAGAACTGAAATTTACTGTAGTTCAAGAGGCTGGAAGTCTGACCTCAAGATGTCACCCGGACCATGTACCCTCCAGAGACTTTTGAGCATGGTCCTTCTCTTCCTAGCTTCTCGTGGTCACTAGCAGTTCTTAGTTTTCCAATCCATGCCTCTACCTTCTCACAGAATTTTTTTTCTGAGTATATCTGTGCCAAATACTCAGTAGTATCTTTATAATAAATACCTGAGTAGTATCTTTATAATAAAAATAAAATGAAGATTTGGCACAGATATACTCAGAAAAAAATTCTGTGAGAAGAGGAACAGAAGGAGAGAGAGCACAAGCAAGGAACTCAGGACCGCGAGGGGTGCACCCATACACTGAGAGAATGGGGATGTTCTATCAGGAACTCACCAAGGCCAGCTGGCCTGGGTCTGAAAAAGCCTGGGTCAAAACCGGTCTCGCTGAACATAGCGGACAAGGAGGACTACTAAGACCTCAAGAACAATGGCAACGGGTTTTTGAGCCTACTGCACGTATTGGTGTCTGTTTGAAATCTTTGATCCTAAAGATTCAACTGCTCTCTGGAACCCTGTAGGTGACCAGGACTGGCAGTTTTCCTTCTCTGCCTCCTCCCTGCTTTACTCTTTGTCAGTTCTCAGCTCTCTACTCTCTCTCACCATCCTCTACCCCAGCAGCTTTTCCTTCACACTGGCGCTCTCAAACTCATCTGTGTCTTCTTCAGCTGGGAGTCTCCTCACTGTCTTGCTGCTTTCTTAGCCTGTGCTGCTCTGGCCGCAATCTTCCTGCTGCCTGTGCCATCACTACCTCACTACTACCTCTGCTGTTCTTTGTGTTACCAGCTCAGCCCACAGCGAGAAGCCTTTCTTTCATTGGACCAAAGGTGACAGCAACAGACGGGTCAGTTTTTAGAGACTTCCTCCTGGTGACTTGCTCAGGAAGCTTGAACAGCTTGCTTATATAGCCTGAAAGTCCATTCTTGGAATAATCACAGTCAGTAGTTTTAGCCCAATCACAGCCTTGCCTTGTCAGCACCTCTGCGAGGCACGGCTTATGATATAAACTATTTTAAACAGCCCTGGATGACCCTGAGCCTTGTCATGTAGTTTTTAAGTTCATGGGCAGTTCAAGATGTATGGCCATGGTATGGGGGTGTTTTGGCTGGCTGCTTAACTGAAAGTCTTTTTGCTCCAGAAAGCTAAGGGAACTAGAGATGATAGACTCACTGCTAATTAGAGAATTGGGTTGCCCCATCTCCCAAAGTCTGCTTTTATGGAGGAAAATGAGTATCAGAATGAATGCTGATAATCAGAACTTATATAATTTACCATTAGCACTAAGAGTAATTTTAGCAGAACTGAATATGCTTTAATAGTATCCCACACTGACTTGGTGCCCTAGAGAGATGTGGGCCCATGTTTTCCATCTCACTACAGATGAGAGTAATGGTAATTTAGAAGTAAGAAGAGATGGAGGTTCTCCAGGTAGACATCAGAGCTCATCAAAGATCTGAATACCAGATAGTTGTGTGACACTGAGCATGACAAGGGCTCCCTGGATTTTACGATCAGATGTTGGAATCCAGGACTTGTGTCTGCCAAGAGACAACCTTGATTTTACATTTCCATCCCCACTTGATCTGTTTCCAGTTTTTCAAATCTAGGCGTGGAGATTATTTGTCTGCACGTAATCAGGGACTCTTGCTTTCCAAGGAAATGGCTGTCAGCAGCTTCTCCACTCTCCTCCAAGAACAGGGCCTGGATTATGTATGCACCGGGGGTCCATGTGCAGAAGGGCAGGGATGAGTGTTGAGTTTCAGTTACCAGCTTTGCTTTGCATTTCATTATCCCGTGGGGTCTTGGATTTCAGGCAACCCAATTAAGAAGTAAGCTGAGCATCCTCTTTGCTGGAGGAAGAATTCTGTAAGCCTCTTAGGTGCGGGGGCTGAGGCTTCTGTGCCAGTGTATCTGGATTCCTGAGACAGTCTGAAGTGTTATCCGTGACCAGTGGGCTGTTAAATGACTGTGGCCAAAGCAATTCAGACTCTCAGGAATAGCAGTGAAGCATCTGGCTTCCAAGAAAATGAATCCTAAATCTCAGAACTGCTAGCAGAAGAGGATCTTCTTCTTATCCTTCTGGTGATCAGAGGTTGTGATGAAATTTCAAGTCAGGACGAAGTGGCTGTCATTAATTTTGTCCTCATTTAGTTGATATAAGTTTAAGATCTCCAAATTTTAGCTTTTACCAAGGCAGAGTGAGCTCAGAGACAAGCATTAAGTAAATACAAAATGCTATATAAATAAATCCCCTAAGCTCATCTCACTTCATATATATTTTTAAACTAAAACACAACACCCTGCCTTTATGCCCCAGGGAATTACATTGATCCTTGCCACACATGTCATCAGCCTTCTAATGCATCTACGGGAAGAGGATTATTTTCCAATACAGCGATGACAGCCAACGCTTAGTGGAGGCTTCCTGTATCATAGATGGGGATAAGTACTTTCCATGCATTATCACATTTAACATATAATAAGCCCTGTGAATGCAGATAGAAGGTCACCATCTTGCTCATAAGGAATCTGGCAACCAGAAAAAATGCAGCTATGTGTCCTAGGTCAGTCACATGAGTTATCCTGTTGTATCCACCCAGCCTCGTTTTGACCTGAAGTTCATGTCTGAGGTATGCTAGCTATCCAGGAGTGCCAAGTAGGCTGTTTCTACTTTATGACTTTGTAGAAAAAACTGATATGGAAATGCAGTCTTCATAAAATGTGTTAAACATCAGACAGAGGAAACCACATGTCTTTAGGGGATCAGAGCGCTGAATTTTCACGAAGGCGTGTTTAGCTAGAGTTTAAACGGCATGTAATAATGAGGTTGACTGACCTGGCAAGAAAGGGCATGGGCAAACAAGAAAAAGCTTGTTGTGCATCCTGGGGAGTGGAATGCAGAGCAGAATACATGGGCTACAAATGGTCGGGTGGCTCAGAAGCCAAAGGCATGTGCCAACAAGCCTGGTGCCTTACATTTGACCTCCAGGACCTACGCTGTAGAAGGAGAGAGCTAATTCCTTCAAATTGTCCTCTGACCTCTACATGTACACAGTGACACACGTGGTTGCATACACACAGCATAAATAAACCCAAAATGTTTAATGTATAGTTAGAGAAGAAACATTGTACTGAAACAGTACTTATGAAATCCAGTGTTGAAATGAAGCCAAGCAAGAGCTTCTCTGTAGTGAACCTTATGGTCTTCATACCTGGTTTCAGGTTAAACGCACTCACAATATTGGATCAGGGATGAGTTTGTTACATTACTGATGGAAAATGATGCTAAATTTTGATTGGAAGTTAGTGATTTAAAAGTGTACTTTTCCCACCAAGGCTCAGGAACCCCCTAGGTTCTATCAGAGGAATCTGCTTGTGGAATGCAGGTTGAGGGTCCCGGCTTTGTGTAATTTATGTCATTCATTTATGTTTGATTCATTTATGTGGAATGAGAATTTGCCTGTGCCCATCACTATAAAGAGAAAAGGGAAGTTATTGATATAAAGAAGAGCATGAAGAAAGAAGAAATTTTGTTGTATGTGACTATACATTAGTAACTCAGTCTTGGGCATGGAAGGTCTGTTCCAAGCAACTGCAGATAATACTGAATTCTATTGATGTTGTGCCTTTTTCTTATACATGCATACTAAGATGAGGTTTAATCAATTAGGTATTGTAAAAACTAATAAAGATAACCAGTAAACAATTATGAAAACATATAAGTGAGTGTGCCCCCCTGCTCTCACTTTACACCCTCACCCAACTATTGTGTAATTTTGAGTGGTTGTCTGCAGGTCCTTGAAGTTGCTTTGGTAAAGGATACTACTGGGTATCTTGCCCCGGGTTTAGGTTCCAGATAAGCATAGATGGAAATCCGAGGACATTGGAAATGGTCTCACAATGTAATCAGCTGTAAAAACTCTGAGCTAAAATTAAGATTTGAGTCCCTGGCCCCATTAAATTACTATCTGCTGTATCCAGTTAGCTCCTTACACGCAAAGTTCCCAAGCACCTTCAGGTTGGAGCCCTAGACTCACAATTCCCATGCACGCTCAGGTTGGCTCCCTAGGTGCACAGTTCCCATGCACCCTCAGGTTGGCTCCCTAGGCGCACAGTTCCCATGCACCCTCAGGTTGACTCCCTAGGCGCACAGTTTCCATGCACCCTCAGGTTGGCTCCCTAGGTGCACAGAACCCTGCACCCTCAGGTTGGCTCCCTAGGCACACAGTTCCCCTGCATCCTCAGAAGGGAATGTGAGTCTTTGTGGAGGGGTGGGAAGTTACAAGAACCTGCACTGAAGGAGGAAAATTGTTCACTTTTGCTTATTTTGTAGCCAAAAGCTGGGTCTCTTGGATCGGGTTCGCCTTTCTAATCCTCGTGGTAGCAATACTAAAGGAAAGCTATTTACCCCTCTGAATGTAGATGCCATAGAAGAAAGCCCTTCTAAAGAACCAAAACCCGTGGGCTTAAACAATAAAGAGCGTTTCCGCACCGCCTTCCGCATGAAAGCCTACGCTTTCTGGCAGAGTTCTGAAGGTAACCCCTCTCTCTCTCTCTCTCTCTCTCTCTCTCTCTCTCTCTCTCTCTCTCTCTCTCTCTCTCTCTCTCCTTCTCTTCTGTCTCCTTCCTCACCTTCCCTCCACTGAAGATCTCCCGCATCCACAAAGCAATCTCTCCCATCCCACCCTCAACCAACTTCTTGTCTTACTTTGTGTGTGCCCCGTGGGCTGAATGCATCAGTGACATAGCTCATGACTCCTAAGTGAGGAAGCTTTTCAGTGGGTTAGGCTATTGTCACCTCTGCGCTTCAGTGAAAACCTTTCCAAGGAGGCTTAGGATCCACCCTTGAAAGGGAAACCATGATGAGGGCAACTGGAAAGATGCAGAGAAGCAGGTACAGCCATCTGGAAAGATGCAGAGAAGCAGGTACAGCCATCTGGAAAGATGCACACCCCCCCCCCTGACCAGGGATGGAGAAGAGGGTCAGAAGCAATGCCCTGTGTGTCGGGTACTATAGGAACGATGGCCTCAAGCACCTCTCTCACATAGCAGAAGGGGAGACAAAGAGGAAAATATTCTTCTAGGTGTTTGAATCCACCAAGCCCTTGACACTCATCGTATTGTTCCTGCCTCTCTGACACCTCCAAGTTTCAAAAGGGTGAGAAAGTGACCTTCCAAGGTCACAAGCAGTGTTACTGACAAGGCAAGAATTTTAACTCAGGTGTGTCTGAGTCTGAGGACCACACCTGTGTTTTTGGCTGCTCATGTGATCACCCACACCTGCAGACCCCACCAGACTTGCTTGCTTCTCCTCCAAGCCGGTTCTGACCTAGTCATAGCTCTGACTCAAACTTCTGTACCTCAAAGTGGGGATGCTAAGGAAGGATAAATGGTGTCACAGTTGGGGTCCACAATGTGGGGTGACTAATATACATACTGGAGATTCTGGTTCCATGGTTGTCTTTCATATTTTCTATTTATGACCGATAAAATTAACATATATGTCTCCCTCACAGATGCTGGGACAGGCGATCCCATGGCAGAAGACAGGGGCTATGGGAATGACTTCCTCATTGAAGACATGATCCCCACCCTGAAGGCTGCCATCCGAGCTGTCAGGTAATGGCACCTCTCCTCAGCTACATACACTCTCAGGCACCGACTTTCATGCCCATGGGACACAGTTGGTCAAGTGCCCTTGGGCCTTGAGAAGGAGACAGGGGCCTCTTCCTGGTAACCGTAAGCTGGGTCCCATGGCTACTTCATCCTCTGTGGAGAACACTACCTTGAATACAATGATTTTTCCTGAGACAGTTGACCACCTGACAACGCATCCATCCAGGACACATTTTTCGGGCTTTAACCAGCATTTACTATGAGGGGTGTCAGGATGGAAGATGTAAAGACATGGGGCTTTCCCTCAACATTCACCTAAGTCATTCAGTATAGTTCTTCTTCTGCCTGTACCTATCCATCTATTCTTTTTAATCAACATTTTAATATGATAATAAACTATAGCTATTTTGTATGATTATGAGACCATAATTTGCTCTACTCTTTTTTCAAAATCCTTCAGGAAAGTCAAGAGAGTACATTACTTCTTAAAGAAAATATAGCAAGATATATGTGTATTCTCACTTTAATGAGTGGCAGAAATGAGTTACCATCTTTTCAGCAAGATCTTTCTATTCAATAGGCCAGGGAACAGAATAGTTTTGTGGACTCCAACAAAGGCTTTGGGGTGGCTCCTCACAGCTCCATATAAGGCAGAAAGGCAGTTAGGTAGACGCATCTATTACATTTGTTGCTGACTGATCAATTCCACCCTCCCCCCCTCAAAAAAAGCTCAGTTGATCAAACCAATCCAGAGGGTGCTCTGCTGAAATACTATTGCTCCAATCTCTGCACAACCAAATTTATACCATCTTTCAGATGTCTTAATTCAAGAGATGGTAACTCTTTTTTTAATATATAATGCCAGCATCATAGGTTTTGTGATCCCTTGTCCTTCATCTCAAGAATTCAGTGTTGCCATCTTAGCATATAAAACCACACATGTCTTAAGTGAGGGAGCATCAACTGGGTTCCATTAGAACATTCTGGTCAAGCACAGGCAATAGGCAGCATATCTGACCTCCGAGCCACCACCATTCAGTGGCTCTGCTTCAAGTGGAGCTAAGTAAAGGGCAAGTTTAAATTCTGTGTTGTGATGAGGAAACTAGTCTATATGCCCTTTTTTTTTTTTTTTTTTGGAAGCTGCGGCTGTGGTTTAAGACAAAATGTACTTGAACTATGCCACTCAAGAGACATGTGCCAATGGGGACTGGAAGAGCCTGGCATAGGCAGGACCTCCTGAAACTACTAGTGACTGTAAGCTTAGATTGGCACTATGCACAGAAGGCTGGAGACCTCGGAGGACAGCAGCCTTTAAGAGTGTTATTATTGACTTGCAAAGAGAAGTATATGAAGGAATCTCCTTGTTATAATGAACTTGTACAGACTCACAGAACAGAACCTTTCTAAGGAGCCCAAAGCAAAAGGATTAGAAACCATTGTTCTGGTTTGACCTGGTTTGTTCATTGGTCTGTTTGGGGATTTTGAGACTGAGTTTCATGTAGTCCTGGCTAACCTCAAGTTCACTGTGTAGTCAAGGATGGTCTTAAACTCCTGATCCTTCTGTCTCTAGCCTTAAGTGCTGGGATCACAGACATATAATGCCATGCCTAGCTACTATTATGACTTGTGAGTAGAATGTCCAGGCATTTTTAGACACGGTGCCCTGCAAGTGGTTCAATTTTGAAAGATTGGCATCTGCTTAGCTAGGCAAAAGTTCCGTCTATGGTTTAGGGGTGGCCCTTGAAGAAGTTATATCTCTATCCCTGCTCTGTCTTGAGCTCTGTTTTCTGATCTGTGATGTGACCCAGCCACCTTAGGCTCTGGATGGTACCAATTAGATCTCTTTTCTCCTCCACAACTTCCCCACCAAACATTCACGTAAAACTATGAGCGAAAATGAACCAGTCCTTCCTGAGTCGTTTCTGCCACAGTGAAAGTGAGAAATTTGACAAGCAGTTATTGAGGAGGACAAGCATTAGCCATCCTCAGTTAAAAAGCAGTGTGGTAGTGACAGCAACCAAGAGCCTTATTGACACGGAAGCCTGGCCCTGATCCAGGTCTGGCAGCCTGACCTATGAGACGTGGCGTTCTCAGAGCCATGGTTGCTCCTCTGCAGATTGATTAAAAGACTGATCATAAGGAGTGATACTTAGTATCTCTTATGCAATGAATGTTCAGCAACTGTTCAAAAGCTGTTATTACTTCCATTTTGTAATTGCTCAAATGATTGAAGAAGTGGCACTAGCCAGCCTAATTGACACAAAGGGACAGAACCAGAGCCGAAGGCCAGCACTCTGCCATGCAGGAGCGTTCCCTTCCTTCTTTTCTCCCACTGCCTCTGGTGCTTGCTAGATGTGTATTCTGGTTTCCCTCGCTGTCTTCCCGCCCTGAAAAAAATGCCTCTCTTTTGCCTTACAGAATTCTCCAATTCCGCCTATATAAAAAAAAGTTCAAGGAGACTTTGAGGCCTTACGATGTGAAAGATGTCATTGAGCAGTATTCCGCAGGGCATCTTGACATGCTTTCCAGGATAAAGTACCTTCAGACGAGGTAATACATTTGAATGGAAGGGCCTATGCTCGCTCAGCTGCTCGGGAATCCGTGTCAGATGACCGTAGAGTTTTAAGAGACAGGCATTCGGAAGTAATCCAAAATACAGCAGAGAAACTTCAAGAACGGAAGTGCCCACTGAGCATTGTGGGTGTATGGGCCAATAAATTTTACTCTCAGACTAAGGCTTGGCAAGGTATAGAGAATAATGAGACCATGGTGACCAGGGGCTTCTGTCCCTTCTAAAGATGATTGTTACTATGTTCTGTTTAGTTTTCAAAGATGCAGAGAAGCCCTGAGGCATTGGTATGACCAATATCAACTCCCTGATGGGCTTCATGGAGAAAAGAAGGTGTGCATCTGTCCAACTAGTTCCTGACTTTGGTGCTTTGGATAACCATAAAACTCAGATCATCTAGAAGGTTCAGCTAATTTATTCTAAGGATAAAATTTCAACCATGTGTTAAAATTTTAAGTGTTATGCATAATAGTGAAAATACAGAAAAGATGGAACCATTTACAGAGACTTTTAAAAAATAATACCATACTTTTATTGAATTCCTAGGTACTTTACACATATATAAATATATAGGAGCCATTAGGATCCTATAAGGTACTTATCACATAACAGGTGCCCTAATAATGATGGGGAAACCATGGCTGGTAGGGCAGAAGACTAAGCCAAAACTGTCCATTCGAGATATTGAAAGCACAACATCAATATATGTATGTCAACGATGCATCATCACGAGACTAGAATATGAACTTTGCCTAGACCCAGCAATCATATGAACCAATGTGCTGTGTATGTATATGTGTGGGGTTAACACAAAAGTGGGCACATGTTAGCTCAGAAATACACATGGCATACATGATGTCATTCCATCATATGAGAGACCTGAAAAGAGACTGACACAATTCAAGGTGACTTGGGCTTCCTCTTCCTCATCCAATTAATGTCCCCTCATTAGAGTGTCCTCCTGACTTAGTTACAGCACTGTACCAATGAGGCTGTTACAGTGTACATAGACTTGCACCAAATTGGGGTTCAATGCCTGCTTCAATACACCAAATGTATGATGTTTAAACAAGTTTTCATTCCTCCATGCTATCATGTATGGCTGTCTGAGAGACAGAGGAAGACAGTATGCTGCCAACAACAGCCAAAACTCCAAAAATATCAGTCAGTTTTAGTGTTTACAGAATGTATAGCTGTAAACATGCACTGTCATAATTTTTGATAGTTATCAAAAAACGTGTTCGTGGAGGTTATGGTTAGAGGTTGTCTGCCAAGATAATGAATTACATAATCCCCACCATATATATACTTCAGTAGGTCCAGCAGAAAGGAGGGCTGACTTCATATGATGTGTCTGTATGTCTGTTGGAAATGCAGCTGAGTTACCAGAGGAAAATGTGGCCCAAGACTATTCCTGAATGTATCTTAGTGGCCATCCTGATAATCTCACCTCTGTCCCTGCCCCCCATCACGATGAACAACATCTTTCTATTGAACTGAGTGTTGAACAGAAATGTTAGCAGGGTGCTGGAGCTAGGGATAAACCATTCTTCCTAGCATCAGAAGTCTGTGCAGCTGAAAATGGAGCCTTGAGTCTGTCAGTTAAACCTCTCTAATTAGGTAGTTTGGGGATGAATAAAAGAACTAGAAGATTAGATAGGCTTACAGGATATGTGTGGCATTTGCTGTGAGAAATAAGACATAGCCCTCATCCCAACTCTGTAGATTGCCTCCCTATGCTCTCCCAGGGATGAGAAAATGCTCTTGCACCCCAGACTGAAGAAGACATTGCACCCCCAGACTGAAGAAGATATCAATATTCTGGCTGGCAATTTCTCTCCTTTTGTTCTCACTCTGTCTCATCCTCTAACATTCCTCCCTTTCTTACACATTCCAAACCCACATTTGAATTAAGAAATGTAGGAATTTATGTTCTCACAACAACAAAGCTTTGTGTCATCTAATCCCTCCTTGTTTTGTTTCTTTTCTTCTTCTTCTTCTTTCAGAATAGATATGATTTTCACCCCTGGACCTCCATCCACTCCAAAACATAAGAAGTCTCAGAAAGGCTCAGCATTTACCTACCCATCCCAGCAGTCTCCAAGGTGGGACATGTGGTTTCGAACTGATGAACTGTTGAGCACAAGGCCTGTGCAGTAATCCGTCCCCCAGTCCCAGCCTGGGTCTCTTACGTGGGTGTAGCTGCCCTCCCTCCAATGAAATAAACAGAGAATTGAAAGGCTGATGCAAGTTGTCACCATTTGAAAACCCTCTGGGCAGATAACTTCTTGTCCCTATTCCAAGAACACAAAAATGATACTTATTTTTATGGCTTTTAGAATAGGAAATAACCAGTTTTCTGGTTATAAAGCAAGAAGAAATCCATGAGTTTTGTTGAAACAGAGAACATGTCTGCTATTAGTGGAGCATATGCATTCTTTGTCAGCTCATTTGTGTTCTCCTGTACAGTGCCCTGAGGGTCAACTGATATCCCTTTCAAGAGTGAGAGAAGGCATTCAGATGCCAGGGCCTCTAACAGCACAGTAAATCATAAAATTCTCACGCCAAAATGTGTTTTAAAATTTTGAGCAAGTTTTGTCCTTTGTAAAGTTCATTTTCTGCATTTGCACCTTTTTCCCCCCAAAACATCTTTAATGCAAATAAGACAAGTGAGTAAAGGACGATTGTGCACTTCTTAGAAGGAAGCTTGTTGGGGTAAAAGAAGGCATCTTCAGCCTTGGGCTTGGCATGAAAATAGTGGGTCCCAAGGCTGCTGATTCTTCTAGTGGGAATAACTATTCCAATGTTCTGTTGTAGCTAATGTTAACAACGAGTCCTGATTTCATATCATCCATTTTTAAATAAATATCTTGTAGAGAATTCTACTCTTATAAATTTCTATTTATTTTATTTTAATTGATTAGTTAATTAATTTGGAAGCTTTGGAGGTATTGGTTTGATTTTTATTTTGGGACAGTGTCTCACCACATAGCATAAACTGGCCTCAAACTATGTAGTCTATACTGGTCTTAAACCCATGCCAGTCTTTCTTCTTTGGGATTGCAGGCATGCAAAACTACAGCCAACTAACAATTTCCTCATTTTCGAGATGGTGTTTGAGGATGTTTTAAGAATTTTTCAGAGTCCAGCACGATAGTTCACACCTGTAGTCCTGGCTCTTGAAAAATGGACACAGGAAAGATCTTGAGCTTAAGAGTACCCTGAGGTAGAGAGGAGATCCTACCTCAAAACAAACAAAATTAATATTTATGTGGCCCATTTCCTATAAATTCTCACATGTAATGTTCTAGCAGACCTCCAAGGTGGGTTCTTTATATCACTCATATCATATATAATAAGAGCAACGTTGGAAGAAGGAGACCACTTGTTTCCAAGCTGCCCAACTGCTTAGACCTGAAAATAATCACACAGGAACCGTATTAATTAAATCACTGCTTGGTCCATTAGCTCTAGCTTCCTATTTGCTAACTCTTACATCTTAATTTAACCCATCTTCATTAATCTGTGCATCACCACAAGGTCGTGGCCTACCAGCAAAGTTTTAGTGTATCTGTCATCTGTCTCCGACAGCGGCTTTATGGCTTCTCTCTGACTCTGCCTTCTTCCACCCAGCATTCAGTTTAGTTTCCTGGCCTACCTAGGTTCTGCCCTGTTATAGACCCAAAGCAGTTTCTTTATTCATTAATGGTAATCGCAGCATACAGAGGGAAATCCCACATCATAGTGACACTAAGAGATATTAATTCCTGAAGTCATAAAACTAGTAAGAGAAAGTGTCTGGTTTTGACAGAAAACTGTAACTATGAGAAACTTGTCTCATGAGAATTTGTAATATAAGCAAACATTTGCCCAGAAAATAGGTGAAAGGACACTCAAAATTTTCTCATGCTCACTAATGAATTTTAAAGCATCAAATTGAATGTACCTATGCAGGACCAATAAAACACAGTGGGCTGGATGTAGCACGAGGCCACTAATTTTTGAAATTTGCTTCAGTTGAAGACTGTTCAGATGAAGAAATAACTTAGCAGAGACAACAGCATAGGAGAGCAAAAAAAAACAGCTGTCAAGAGAAAGTCCAACTCGAATGGATTTTAGCAACAGCAAGTGTCTCTGAAACATCCCATCTCCACATGGTATAAACATAATGGAATTAACTAGAGTTTATGCAGCTCATTATTGTATATAAAGAGAAAATACAACCTTTCCCTGGTTCCTGCCAACATCATTCCAGCAATGTTTTCCGGATTCAGCTGGTGTTTGCCATTCTAAACAAAATGGACCAGATGAAATGTGTGTTCATACTCCACATATTTTCAGAGATGAGACAGTTGCTCCTTCATTCCCACAGGGTAGAAGCTCTGAGACTGAAAGGTAAAGGAATTTAATTTAAAGGAATAAACACTCTAGGCACTATTAGATATTTGATAAACCTCAACACAGCAAAGCCTCCTTCACTACAACTTCCTGTCCATTTTCATATCTTCCTGCAGGGAAGGCAAGCATGTGATCCACAGTCCTGACTAAGTGTGTCAAAATAACCCCTTTTGTCAGCATGTGTGAGAACCATGGTCCCATGTGCATGGTTGCCCAACTTAGAATGACTTTGCACAGTAAAAACGGATGCAGTGATCTTATAGAATTGTGTTTTTTCCTTAGGAATGAACCATATGTAGCCAGGGCAGCCACATCAGAAACTGAAGACCAAAGCATGATGGGGAAGTTTGTAAAAGTTGAAAGACAGGTAAGCCTCACCAAAACAATAATATGTAAACTTCTTTTCTTTTTTTAGATTTATTTATTATTATTTTATGTGTTTTGCCTGCACATATGTATATGCATCATGTGCATGACTGATTCCTGCAGAGGTCCCTGGAACTGGAGTTGTAGATCTTATGAGCTACTCTGTGGATCCTGGGAACTGAACCCAGGTCATACATAAAAACAACACTTGTTCTTAATTGCTGAGCCATCCTTCTAGCTCCATAGAACTCATTTTCAGATTCCATTTTATTCATATTGAGATCAGGCATAAGAAATATCACCTACCACTATAAAACATATGGAAATTAATTCCCTAGTTTTGCTTTTACTGGCTGGATGATCACCTGCATGTTAATTGCTGTTTTGAACCTCAGGTTTACTTGTCTGTCAAACAGGGAATTAAATAGATTGTAAAGTTGTTGGGAGGAGTAAATGAGTTGACCCATGGGACTTTCTTAGAATGTTAGCTGTGTGCAGTGAATAGTCAACAGCTGGTCTCCGCTGTCCACTTCATGCTTCATGGTCGCCCCTTAACAGATGTTAGCTCTCTGCCCATGGTTTCATGTTCCTTTCTGTTCTCTTTTGCTCTAATCCCAATATGTGGGTAACCTTCATGAGGTGGCCTAGCATGGGGCCAAGTTATGGGAAGGGCCATTTGGAGTACCAAGAGAGGCTCGCTCACTGTAGTTCAGTAGATAAATGACTCTATCATTTCTCTCCAGACTCAAATCAGCCCTTTTATCCACCCCCTAAGACTAGATCCATGAAGGGGAAATGGAAGAAAATCTCAATGATTGGTCTCTTGCTTCTTATTTTTTAATTTTAAAATATAATCCTCATTCTCACATGTACTGGCTCTATGACCTTTCACAAGTTGTCATCTCTCTGGTCATGTTTCATCACCTGTGAAGCAGACATTACAACAGCCTTCACATTGTAAGGTTGTGACAAGTAAGTAAGTCAGTAAAGTGCATAAAATAAAGTTGCATAGCTGCTGTCAAAGTGTCCCTTAAAGCTATGGCTTAGATGAAACTTATCTGTGACCTGTCCCAACTCTCACAACCTCATCTTTCCAGTGAGGTTATTTCCTTACCTGATTTGGTGAACTGTGAGCTATCTGAGGGGAAATATCACATGCAACAATGCACACCCTTGTGTATATGCACCAATGTTAATCATCAGGGAAGGAACATCTCTATTATGCATAGATGCACACACACTTGTACATTCGTGCTGACAAACATTCAAACTTAGGAATGCCATAACCAAAGCAGAAGCAGCTTCCATCATTGCCTGTGGGCCCCTATTGGGTCTCTAGGTCTGTATGTAAAACTCCATTAATGCCGACACTGGCCTCCAGAACTTGCATTACCAGGTATTAATAACGGACACTAATAACCATATCCTTGCATATGAGAAAAGTCTCAAAAAAACAAGAACTCCACTCCTTCACTGAGTTAGTAATATCGCCCCTTCCAGGGGAGGACAATGAAAGCCTGGAACACTTACTTAATCTCAGCCTGTCTGTGGGATTCTGGTCTTTGACTCCAGATGACCTCCTTGCCCATTTCTGCATGGGTGTTGATATATGCATGGGACCTTCTAGCAGACATTGTGGAGCCATTCAGAGCTGCTGTTATTATTGAGACCTGCAAAGCATCGCTTCTGAGTGACGGTGATCCTCATTCCCTGAGGAGCAGTGAATCCAGGTGCTTATGTTTTCCAGGTTCACGACATGGGGAAGAAACTGGACTTCCTCGTGGACATGCACATGCAGCACATGGAACGCCTGCAGGTCCATGTCACAGAGTACTACCCGACGAAGGGGACCTCGTCCCCAGCAGAAAAGGAAAAGAAAGAGGACAACAGGTATTCTGATTTGAAAACCATCATCTGCAACTACTCAGAGACAGGCCCCCCAGACCCACCCTACAGCTTCCACCAGGTGCCCATCGACAGAGTCGGCCCCTATGGGTATTTTTCACGTGACCCCGTGAACCTGACCCAAGGGGGACCCAGTTCGACAAAGGCTCAGCCCACCCTTCCCTCCTCGGGAAGTACATATGCAGAGAGGCCCACAGTTCTGCCCATCTTGACTCTTCTGGACTCGTGTGTGAGCTACCACTCGCAGACAGAACTGCAAGGCCCTTATTCGGACCGCATCTCACCCCACCAGAGACGCAGCATCACTAGGGACAGTGACACGCCTCTGTCCCTCATGTCCGTCAACCACGAGGAGCTGGAGCGGTCTCCAAGTGGCTTCAGCATCTCCCAGGACAGAGATGATTATATGTTTGGCCCCAGTGGGGGATCGAGCTGGATGAGGGAGAAGAGGTACTTGGCTGAGGGGGAGACGGACACAGACACAGACCCCTTCACGCCTAGTGGTTCCATGCCTATGTCATCCACTGGGGATGGCATTTCGGATTCTATATGGACCCCTTCCAACAAACCCGCGTAGAAGGGGTCACTGGATGACTCCTGGTACTGTAGACAGACTTTGTACAGCTCACTTACTCTCACGCCTAGCACTTGCAATGGTGTAAGTGGCTGTGTCAAGCGCATGCATGTGCGCGGTGGCCCCCCTACAAGCAGGGGCTTCTCACAGCCTTCTTCCTCCCTGTGTCACTGCAACAGATTCGCTTCCTTTTCAGCATGGTTTGCATGACTTGACACTATATAAACGGCACTGTTAGTCTCTTCTAGATACACCTTTATCTGCTCTTCTTACTTTCAATCATGATCAAACAAGTACAGGGAGACTTACTGGTGAGCTGTGCTATTTGTTTGGTTGGCTGGTTTGGGTTTTGATTTGGATAAACTGAGAGCAGGGTTTAAGTTATTTCAAGGCTCACTTCCCCTTTGTGTAAAATTGCTCCAGTTAAATCAACTGTTTTCTAAAGCAAGGAAATAATTTTCTCAACCAAAACATACAGTGCATTCCAAATGAGGCTGGAGGGCAGGAACAAGATAGTCAATCAACACCCAAAGCCAAGATTTTGAAAATTATTTCACTAATGGAAGGCTGGTAAAAGTATTTAAACACTCCCAAAGGGACTTGGTCTACTGTTTTACAGTACTGTGCCTCAGTTTCCTCATCTGTAAGATGTTGGTGATCCAAAATATAACATCACACGTATTTTGGATTGGTGAGGAGAAATCTTCCATACATACCACAAACACAGAAAAATAGTTCCCAATTTATGTAGCCAAAGATAATGAAATTTCCCAGAAGTGAGGTGCCCCCTCTTGGCAGGAATTATATTTCATGTCTTCAAAATAAGATTCCAACCCACTCTTCTGCCTGTACTTGAATCCCAAGTGGAAATTAGAATCAAGAGCGATTATCTCTCCAAGTCCTCTATTTAAAAGTAGGAAGTTTGGGCACAAGTCAAGTGACATTCCTTGAGACACTTGGTCGTCATGTATAGAGTAAGGACTCCAAGCCTCTGCCTGGTGATGACTCGCTCCTTGCCTGAGTTTTCCCCTCCCATTATCCCATGTGCACACCCGGATGCAGAAATCGTGCCAAGACACCAGCACTCTTTATCCATGAGATATAATCTCCACTCTTTATTCAAAGTGAGGAGGATATCTACTTTGAGCGCAAAGCATGCTCATGTGATGCTTTGTATGGGGGATCCAGGGTGGAGAATACAAACTAGTTATGAATATCCAAATAGGAAGAATTCCCAGAATCATTCACTTTTACTCTCCTCCCCCACCCTGAAATTTTCAAAATGAAAATACTAGAACCACCCAAAATCAAAAGAGCTGCTGGAGTGTCAGCCAACAGCCTAGAGATCCCTGCCCTACTGCAGGAGGATGGATGCTAAGCACAAGCCACCCTGTGGCCTCCTGGGAGGTATTGCTACATGCTGCAAACCTCTGATTAAAAAAAAGGTTGGACTTTGGCTATTCTTGCTAGATCACTACGCCACAATATTAGTGTCTCAGTCTTCTCACGAATCAAAACACTGGTTTTAAATCATTGCCATGGTGACCATTAAGGTGATAAAAATACCCTAAATAAGTGTTTACATGCCAATGCTGTTTGCTCTGTTGTCAAGATCCATAGATACCGTGGCAGACATCTGGCTGATGGTTTCATAAACTCCTGATCCTAGGATCCTGCCCTGTGTTGGGTAGAGATTCCACAGCAATTGGTTTCTTTCAATCCACATGCTGAGATTGGTCCTGTACAAACTGCTGAGAATAAGTAATGGCAAAAGCTTGCCCCATGATATAGGTACTTAAATCCAAATCTTTCAATTCCACGAACTGTGACAAGCACTGAGAATGGAAAGGGGTACCTTTCCATGGATGGTATCATGAATAGAACCATTAAGTTCAAGGCAGGCAATATAGTCACACACATTGGATGCAGACTTTTTTGGTTTGCAAATTGACTTTCTGACAATCTGAAAGACAAAGGCTGTTGCCCTGTCTTCCCAGTTCTTTCAATATGACTTCAGTGGTACCACTGGGGCTATAAGAAAACTTACACCTCTTCCAAGGGACGTGGTTCTTGAATCTGACCTTCCTAGAATGTTTTCATCAGAAATAGGTGTACTATCTAGCACCAAATATATGCTACCCTTCTTTATATGCATGGGATTGGGGAGGAAGTTAGAGAAAAATATGTACCATGTGATTTTTCCTAACATATTCACATTCCTTCAGAACTTCCTGGCATTGGTATACTACATGTGGATGCATTTCTTCAGGAGTTCAGTGGAGTTCTTGGTCAAGAATTCTGTGAACTGAAGCTTGCATTGTCTTGCAAGCAAGCTATAAGTAAGCAGTCTTGTTTTCCTAATTCAAAATCAGAGGGGCAGAAATTAGTTTTGTATTGATTATCAGCTTAGCAGATGTCAGTTGTCTGTATCAGATAGGCACAACCAAATACGTAGTGCATAGAGGACTGCTGTGAAGAGCCCATCTAAGAGAACAAACAGGAGAAAGAGGGTCTGGAGTCCTTCTACCGTAATATTCTTCTATAGAATTCTAGACCAGCAAACAAAACCTACTCATCTAAACCTGTTGGTACATTGCCTGATTGCCCATGGCTGGCACTGAGGATGCAGAAGTTCTACTCTTGGGGATGAAATGATGGCGTGTGTGTCCCATGAAGATCTTTTGTAAGTCAAGAAAAAAAATAATCGAAGGACAAAATAATCCTAAAGAATTGGATACCATGTACCAAAAATCATACAAGTCGCTCTGCAGCGTGCTGAGGAGATCCCAGCAGTTTTTTGCAGAAACCTAGAAATACTGACAAGCTAATTCCATCACGAGAACTGGCAATTGTTTTCTCAGGTAAAAGGATAATCTCATTTTATATATTTGGCTGCAATGCTTTAAATTTTTAAGAAGTAGGGCTGGAGGTATAGCTCAGCGGTAGAGTACTTGCCTACCGTAAAGAAAGTTCTGGCTTTGATTTTTAGCATGGCACAACACACACACACACATACACACACACACACACACACACACACACACATTAGGGCGATGTATCTTAGCAAGATAAAAATGAATGAGAGGGAAAAAATGAATGAGAGGAATCAATGCTAGCTAAAGGGTCATTATATCAGGCTGAATAAAAGTCAGTTTAAGTGTAAATTTGATTATTAAATATTATACAGATAAATGCTTAAAACATACAAAAACTGAAATTGCGGGGGGAAAAAGAAAATATTGAATTGAGAAAACTCTTCAATAACTATTTTTAAAACTTAGAATTCAGACTTACTAAATATGACACTGATGTTTTGAAATCTTGTTTTAATGAAGTAAATAGAGAGTACCAAAGTATATAGGTAAAACCAAACCAATTAACTAACAATTATGCATATTATGTCTTTTCTGTACAAAGCAGGTCCTAGACATCGTAACTCAAGCATAAGCACCCTTTGAAAACATGGCATAACAGAATCTACTCACAATTTGCCAAAATAATTCTCATAATTTTATGCTACTCTGAGAGTGTAATAAATTAAGTATTTATTTGGTTATTCATTTAGCAAGATTTATGAGGTACCACTGAACACCAAGGATTGTGCAATGGAAATGCAGAGATCAGGAATCCAGTTTCTGTTATAAGAAAGCTGGTGGCTTCAACCGTCAATGATCCTTTTAGACTTTTCCTACCTGATTTTGTATCTGCAGACAACTGTCCACTAATAATGCCTCCCAGAGGGGAGAATTGGAAGTTCAACACAGAAGAAACTGGAAGAAAAGGCACTGAACCAAAATGATGATGATCCTGTCGCCTCCGGGAAGGCAGAGATCATTGAATGGGGAATTTACTTTTGGGTTCATCATTTTGGACTCTGTAACACCCAATAAGTGATGTAAACGTGTGGGCTCTGAGAAAGGTTCCTGGAGAAACTAGCCTTCTCCATATTCCTGCTGCACTGGAGGCCTGGCAAGTAGCTGAGGCATCTGTCTCACCATACTGACCAAAAATGCCTTGGTACAGGTCATGGCAAAACATCTATTTGAAAAGAAGGAAGTCACTTTGCCAGTGAGAATCTGCAGATCAAAATCCTTGGAGGGAAGAGAAGAGATGATCTCAGAAGTCAACTTTACTTTTGACAAGGCTGCCACATTGACCCTGATTTCCACGATACATTGCTACCCCAGATGATGCCGTATAGAATAGACCCTCTTTGGTTCTCATGAATATGTTCCCAAGCACCCAGGACCACTGATATTTTCATTGCTTTAGAGTTTGGCAGTATCCTTAAGAATTTATCTTCACTTCTCTTCAAAACCATGCTGTTGCCAGCATGAACTTTAACCTACATATGCTTTCTGCGTTCAAAAGAAATTCAAAATTCTCATGCTGCTTTTACCCTGTTCATAACTGAGCCATCTATACCCTAAACATGGCAGCAGATAGCAACTCAGTAGTTCCCAGCTTCAGAAATGTTAGAGACTAGAATACTTATGAAGCTTTCATCGGTTTTGAAACCATGGAGTGATAATAATGCCAAACAAATGGAAAGGATATTGAGATGACTTGTATAAAAATCTGAGTTTTGAGACATTCAAAACTATTTCATTCTATTTTAAATTTCAAGTGAGACAATCAACTCTGTATAAAGCTCTTAGTACAGTAACTGGTCTGTACCAAAACTGTCCATGATTATCCATGTCTGTTTTTACAGTACATGTACGCTCCATAACACTGATTACTGATATTATTATGGAATCTTAAGTTTACAACAGAAAATATTTTTTTAGGAAAAAAGAAGTTGGTGGAGATATAATCCAAATTATTGCATGATAAAACTAGGCATTTTTTTTCAGTTGCTCTTTAACCGTGTACCTGTCTGCAGCATGATTGTTTTCTTTTTCCCCATCACAATGTAGAAGATAAGGAATACTGGAAGGAGCATTAGGAATGCTGGTTCTCGGTAGGTATGTGCTGAAAGTGCTGTTGAACAGAGTGCAAGATGTAGCCATACTGTCTTTTTAAAACTACTTATAGGAGATATAGGCAAAGAGAAACTAATTACGTATGATAGGAAAGTCAACTGTTGCCTGATGGCTACCAGTAGCACCCTTTCCGTGAATGGGACATCTTCAGGAAAAGGGTCCGAACTTGTTCCGATTCTTCCCTGTGGATGTGATCTCAGAATTCCAAGGTCTCATTTCAGTCTCGTATCTCTGATCCCTCTAGGATCAGATGTACTTGCACAGAATTGAGGAGATACAATTTCACAGACTGTAAAATGCTCATAGCAAGACCTTGGTCACTCATATTTTTTTTAGGGCAGGGCATAAATGCTCAGAGGACAGGGGCCTTAACCAGGTCTCGTGATATTGAAAATAAAGATGAAGTAGCGTAGTGAACCTAGATCTCAGGTCTCCTTACCCCTCGTCCAGATGTTGACACCAGAAGATAAATGACAATTTCCTGCCTCTCTTGAGAAACGGCTGAACCAGAAATAATGTTTGAGAGCATCACTCTAGGGGACTCTAGAATAGGACTGATGTTCCCAAGTCCTGAAGATGTCCCTTCTTCTAAATCTAATCATCAAAGGGCCCAGAGAAACCTCATGTGATTGAGTATAGTTAGGTAAAGACAGAAGAACACACTTTCAACCATGTCCATGACTACTGTCCCCCACCATTATGACTATTCTTGCATTGTCTCTTATTGTGCCAAGATTGGACACAAGATTTGTTGATCCCATGGACTCATTCAGCTCCACACACACCTTCAGTTGTAGCCTCAGATAGAGGTCCAATGAATGAGACTTCTCTATAAATGTGATTTAAGTAGGACCTGATTTCTTTGGGAATCTGACATGCCACAAGCTTCCAGTTCTAACAAAGGTGTCGCTGTGTACCAGAGTATCTGGGTTTCATCTAAGCAGGCCTGGCTCTTCTTCCTTTACTCCAGGGGATCCCCATGCTTGCCATTTCATAGACAGACACTTTGGGCCCTTGTCAAAAACTTCCTACAATCAGTTCTGATTTAAATATATCATGTCTGTATAACTGTGATAACACCTTAGAGAATAAACTGGTCTTCATGACTCATGTGCAGATCGCTAGAATGTCCACTTGGGCTGTGCTTAGATTTGCCAGAATTTGACAGTGTTCCCCCAGAGTTTGTATGAAACCCATTGGTAAGATAGGCTGTGTTAGTGATCCTGTGTTGGCTGATCCAACGCTCCTGAAGGAATCAAAGAGAAAAGTGGCACATTATTGGATGGATTTCAATTGCTGCATTATTTTAACGATTGTCATTCTGCCTGAGTCTTTTTTTTTCCCTCTTAACAGCATTCCTCTGGGATTGAAGTAAGTGCTAGGAAAATTAGTAATTTTTATCATAGTAAAAAATGCAAAACAAAGCAGATCTATGTAACCTAAGAATGGCTTAAGTTAATTAACCACACCTAACCTAGTACTTAGGAATATACCAACTTAAATTGGAAACCTAAGAGTTCTAAAACCAAAAGTTTGGTTCCAATGCTCTGTTCTCTAACTCTGTCCACAAAACTGAGGTCTGGTATAGGAGAACAGTTCCCACTAAGTTCTCTATATTGCCAGCATGTGGCATCCTTAATGTAAACCCACTTGGGGGCTGTTATCGCCTGCACAGAAATTGAAGCTGAGAGAAAGAGAGCTGCCTAGATGTCACATATTACAAAAGAAAGATCTTGCATTTTACACAAAACCATGGACCTCAGAAGCTTATCCTATCTTTGCCCCTACACCAATTCTCCCAGGCAGTAGAACTGGTCCCCGGTCAGTCTTCATGGTCCCCAAGAAGACATTTTCCTCCTCTGTGCAGTCAGTTTTTCAGTGAAATGATCGTGCACCCACCCAAGCTCCCTAGAAAGGAAGGGTGACTGTGTCAGCTGCCTGCTGCTAGTCAGCAGGTCCTTTGAATGTTTTCACAATCCAGCTGTCGGAGGCAGAAAGTGATGCCACATAAATTATTCACAGGGTTCACATTGGAGTCCATTAGCCCTTGGAGTTTGGTGGCCACAGATATTCCCACAAACACCCTTTGTTCTCTGTCCCCCCAGATCCTCTGTCACTGTGTTTATCTGAAGGAGTTCAAATGTGCCCCAGTGTCAGCCGGCTGTCATCTTCTGCCTCTAGACTGCATCCTTATTTTAGGGCTTTGAAATATTGTGCGAACACAAACTAGCCTTTAGAACATGTTCTCTGAGAGGTCAAATGGGCAAATCAGTTGTGTCTCCATTTCTCAATATTAAGAGAACAGGAATCTGCATGGACACCAAATGGATCTCCTAACAGGGTCATTCTTTACCCCCTTTGAATCCAGTTCCAGGGAATGGGAGATCAGCTTCAAGCCTCAGCCCTCCTTGGGGGCTAAGCAGAGGATTTGGACAGCCCTTCAGTCAAACAGCAGGCGTAAGCTGATAGAGAGAGAACCTCTGCCAGGTTCCGAAAAGCCTAGTTAGGATGGATGCACGTTTTCAGATTTGCCAGTCCTTCCTGTTTTAAAGAGAGAAAAAAAATCTATCTCATGCTGATGGGCTATGAATTTTATCACCTCCCCCTTCCTAATGTGCAGTGATGAGAAACATCTACTGTGGAAGAACAAATTAAGGTTTCCAATGATATGAACCACTGTGTTTGATTTTAAGTTGTATTTTTCTTTCACCCCCTTTGATGGCATAGAATTCTGGTGCCTTGCTCCCTGGATTTGTCTCTGTGCTATGAGTAGGCTCTCCACATTCTGGCTTACACGGGAACACAACTATTCCACAAGTGCCCTTTAGTGCTC